AATCGGTAGAGACTTAAATATTAACACCCACACAGAGTAGATAAAGGAAAAAAATGTGTGTGCAGACTCTAGTGACCAAGTACTATGTGATATTACTCATGACTCCTGATTACAGCCAGAGATTTCAACCTGTTACTATAGTGATCTAACCAAACTATTATTGTTAGGGTTTGATCTTTGATCTTAACTAACCTGGTTTAGCCACGTATCTTGTTTCGTAGTATAAATTGGGTCTAAACCGGGACTAAACCAGGAATAAACCGGGACTGAACCAAGATTAAACCAGGACTAAACCAGGATTAAACCGGGACTAAACCAGGAATAAACTGGGACTGAACCAGGATTAAACCAGGACTGAAACAGGTCTAAACCAGGTCTAAATCAGGTCCAAACCAGGTCTAAACCAGGACTGAAACAGGTCTAAACCAGGTCTAAACCACCAGGACTGAAACAGGTCTAAACCAGGACTGAAACAGGTCTAAACCAGGACTAAACCAGGATTAAAAAGGGTCTAAACCAGGACTGAACCAGGACTAAACCAGGAACTAAACCAGGACTAAACCAGGACTAAACCAGGTAAACCAGGACTGAAACAGGTCTAAACCAGGACTAAACCAGGAACTAAACCAGGATTAAACCAGGACTGAAACAGGACTAAACCAGGTCTGAAACAGGTCTAAACCAGGACTGAACCAGGTCTAAATCAGGTCTAAACCAGGTCTAAACCAGGTCTAAACCAGGACTAAACCAGGACTAAACCAGGACTGAAACAGGCCTAAACCAGGACTGAAACAGATCTAAACCAGGTCTAAACCAGGACTGAACCAGGTCTAAACCAGGTCTAAACCAGGACTAAACCAGGTCTAAACCAGGTCTAAACCAGGACTGAAACCAGGTCTAAACCAGGACTAAACCAGGACTGAACCAAAACCAGGTCTAAACCAGGTCTGAAACAGGTCTAAACCAGATCCTTCAAGTACTTCTTCATCAGTTCTATCTGCTGTGTTGTTGTGAGAAGTTTAGTCCCACTTTAAAGGTTTTATATTAAACTAAATTGACTCTTGTGAGCTTTGAGCCTCGTTATAATGTTGTTACCTGCTCAAAAACAGACCTGGAGTTGTGTTTTGTTTCATTCACATTAGAGCTGCGTATCATTAAGAAGATGCCGATACGATACATATCTCAATACGGTGCACTTTCGGTTCGATACGATATATTTCAAACTGATTCGATATGGTTCAATAATAAATAAAGGCTAAATCGTGGCTGTGACACTAAAAGTCTTAGTTAAATCACTTCTTGTGCAAAGTTCATATGAATCACAAACATTTTAATCATCAAAACAGTGAAAATGTCAAATGTGTCACATAAATGAGCTTCTTTTCACTCAACAAGCAACAAAACTGTAGCGCTGTAACAAAATAATTTAGTAAAATAAACCAAAAAAATACTCTGGGCGATATATCGATACAGCAGCCCACGATATCGATACTGTATCATCACATTAAACCAGGAGTCTCCAACCTGTGGCTCGGGAGCTACTGGTAGTTCTGCACCCCTTTCCAAGCAGCTCGCCAAGGGATTTCTGAATCACATGTATACACGCATCAAGAACGTCGGACTTCTGATCATTGCATAATGTATAGTGTGAAGGATTTTCCGGAAAAGTGAGCATCAAACCTCCATGATTGTTTTCCCAGTGGGATGCGTCTATTGATAAAGCCGATCTTTTCTAGTCTTTTGAACCATATCACTTTTGTTTCTGGTTCTGATATTGTCATATTTTAGTTTTGGGATTCGGACATCGTTAATTGTGTGGTTGTTGAAAACGTCTTGAAAAATGTGTTTGTGAACTCCATAAATGCAACAGGGAATCAGATGTGTGTGACTGCAAACCTCTGTTCAAACTGTTTCTCTTCCCAATGGAATTGAAAAATAGTGAAAGGTGAAGGCGATGGGCAGGATTGATCCACAGGAAGGACGAAAAAGGAAACCTTTGACTGTCTAAATTAGGGGTGTCAAACTCATTTTGTTCCGGGGGCCGTATCCAACCGACTTTGATCCCAAAGGGGCCGGATCAGAAAACTCATGTCATATAAACCCCAAAAATAACAATAAGTTCAAATATTTGTGCAGAGAAACGCAAATCTATTACAGAAATCATTTTTTTAATTGATGAACTCTTTCTTATTATAATATTATGAACAACCTGAAACTTTAAGAAAAATACAATTTCAACACCAAGTTTTAACATGAACTTGTATGCAAACAGGAATAAGTCAATTTTTGTTGTAAAATCCTGCACTCGGCTCCACTTTTCTTATTTTGGACATTTTTCTGATGAGGGTGTCACGGTCAACAGTCAAAAACGATCGCCTTTAAGAGCGTTTGGAAAGAGACAAGTCTTCTGCAACGCCTGCTCTGGTGGAAGGGGCCACGTACAGAGGCTCTGCTCTGGTGGGAGGGGCCATGTACAGAGGCTCTGGAGACACTGCTATGCTAAGCGACGTAGAAAATGACCAATATTTTAATAGAAAATATAATTAAAATATTTTAGTAGAAAATCACCCAAGGGCCACATTAAAGGTCTTGGAGGGCCAGATCTGGCCCCCGGGCCTTATGTTTGACACCTGTGGTCTAAATCATCCCGAGTTTGCAGTGAACATTTTGTATGTGGAGCGACAACAAAGCAGAATCCTGATCCCTCGCTCAGTCGTGGTTACGAATTTAAAAAGTCAACGCCAAAGCAAAAGGCACCAGCTGTTCACCAAGAAACACCTTCCACTGCAAAGAGACCAAGACGTGATGTTGCTGTAAAACCACAAGAACAAGAAAGTGCAGCTCAGTCTGTTTGTCTTCTGCTCCTCTCGATTAACAAACGGGATCCCGCTTTGATGTCGCTCCACATACAAAATGTTCACTGCAAACTGAATAAGCAAAATTGTATTAATTAAATTGTACATTTATCTTATTTTGATGCCAAATTTTCTACACTGTGTAAATCGTGGATAATGATTTATGTTTTACAGGCATCTAACTGTACCTTATCTAGGTCTTACTGTAGCTCTTATATCCGCTCAGTTTCTTGTGACCACTAAAACTAGTAGCTCTCTGTCATTTTTGTTTTGTAAAAGTAGCTCACCAGAGGAAAAAATTTGGAGACCCCTGCATTAAACGATACGATATATTGATATTTCTGTATTTTTGCACAACCCTAATTCACATGTTGTTGTTTGTTTTTTTTTTCTCAAGTAATTTCCCTTGTGGATCAATTAAGTTTGTCTAAGTCCAAGTCTAAGTTTAATGTTTGAGTAACCCTTTTTTTATGTGTAAATCCACATCTCCAAAGCTAAAAAAAATACTCCACCTTATTCAGGGCAGCCGCGGGGTCTTAAAAAGGTCTTAGATTTCATGTTCCTAAATTAAGGCCTTAAAAAGTCTTAAATTATGTTGCCCAAGTCTTATTTTTTTCACAAAGATCTTAAATTTTATTAGTCTATTTTTTTGTTTTGTTTACTCAACCAGGCTGCAGTGCAATGTTAAAGTAAGAGTAAAAAAACAAAAACAAACAAACAAAAAAAACGTGAAATTATGTAACATGAATGAACGTCTAATTTGGAGCATGCTGAAACAATACTTCGTTTGTCTTGTTAGAATGTTATAAATAATTTTTTGGCCATTTTACAAGCAGTGCATACAACTATAAATGAGCTCTGAATGCGATTTTATAATAAATGTATTTTTTGATATTTAAAGCAGTGAATAATGGTCATTATTAGTATTGGATCTGGTGTTTTTCGCCCACATAATGAGTGCGATGTTGGACTTAATTTTCATTTAAGGTCTTAAAGGTTGTATGGAGGATTTTTTTTTTGTTTCAAATAGTCAATGAAAGTTTAAAATACCATTACAGAGACGCAGCAGCCTTGTAATTATGATGACCAAAAAAACAAAGAATGAAAATCTATCAACTGTGGACGTGTTGAGGCCAGATAAACATCAGCCAATAGAAAACGAGGCTGCCTCATTTTCTATTGGCTGTTAGGTTGTCAGTCAAATTCCCTACGTTTCTAGTGTAACTGACTCGTCGGCGCGCGGGGATTACGTGGTTTATGCGGCGGTTCTTAGAGGCTTTTTCTAACTGTCGCTTCCTCGCAGTTCGCACAAAGTTTGTTGCGATGGCGGACGAGAATCCACGACCAGTTCGCCGAAAAAGAAAGTTCATTTTTGAGGCTGCTGAAAGAAGAAGAGAAGGAGAAAAGGAGCGAAGCCAAACTGAGGTGATTCTTGGAGATTTCTTCCAGCGATGGCGCAAATGAAGCGGACGAAGGGTCTAAAAACTGACGCGTCGATCGCTAAAATATTTCTGAACAGTAATTCTGAACGCGCACTGGATGTAAACAAGCGTGATTTCTAGAGTAAAGAGGCAGGAGGAGATGTTTCTACTGAGGGAGCTGTGGAGGAGGAAGGTGGTGTCACGCAGGCACAACATTTGAAAAAGGACTGTCGCTGTATTTGTCTTCCCTTCAAAAATCCTCTATACAACCTTTAAATCTGGGGTTGTCAAACCTGGGGATACCCTGTTATTCCACTTTGTGATGTCACGTAGTGGTAGTTTTCAAGTTAACAGCTTCGTTTTACCTTTTGCTCAGTAGAAATTGTCAATTCAAGAGCTGAAATTATCCAGATGATTTTAGTTAAGGTGTATGGAATTTAAAAGCACAATGGACACTCCCTGTATGACATGACATCACAAGGTGGAAGAGAGCGTTTTATTTGAAAGAACTCAGCCGAAATACGCAGTGTTTGTGCGTTAAATGTGTGAATGAAACAAAACACAACACCAGGTTTGTTTGTGATGAAGAAACATTATAACCTTGATCAGGAACTAGTGTAACTGGGCCCTTTAAAAATCCCCGAGTGCATTAAAGGTTCTCCAGTTCATTTGAGGTTTTATCGATCGGTGCTGCTCCTCTGACCACAACAAAACCACACGTCACTTTTATAATACAAAGTCATTTATTACACAAACCGAAGCTAGTTTACAAATACGGACCCCGTCGTGTGCGTCAAGTTATTTACACTTTGCATACAGCTTGTTTTTTTTTTTGTTTTTTTTCCATTTCACAAATTTAAAAATACAATAAAACTTAAAAAGGAATAAAACCGATTTGTACATAATTTTTGCCAGATGTTTTGTCAAATCACAAACGGAAATAGAACCAGCACATTCCAGATATTACAGCATTTGGCAGGTTTGATTGACAGGTGGAAGTGACCAATCAGAGGAGATTAAAATTTTGTGGGTGAAAAAAAAAAAAAAAAAAAAAAAAAAGGCCCGGTAAAAGCACAGAAAGTAACCAAAAAGCGGACACAGAACCACCTCCTATTTTTAAATACTGATAGAATTTAAACATTTAATCTTAAAAGTGAGAAATAAAAAATATAAAAACTAAAAAACAAACAAAACAAAAAAATCTGGAATAGGCTCCGCCCCCCCAAAAAATTTAAAGGCGTCAAATCAGGACGAAGTCTGAAGGAGGAAAAAAAAAAAAAACAGAAGAAAAGAGAAAGATAGGACAAGGTAATGGTAGACTCTTAACGCCAATAAAAGGGTATAAGGCAGTTTCAAATTACATGCAATTTCAAGATGTTTTTTCCACCAATTTTTAGTGAAAATTGCTGATTTTTTCTTGGTTTACAATCCACTACAGAAGCTGGTAAACTACAAACAGCGATTTCATTAATTCTGCAATTTTGACCAATATTTTGACCAGTATTTTGACCTATATTTTTTTAGTGCAAACCTTTCACCCTTCCTTTTTCTCTCCCAATATCTGTAAAATTCCCTGTATAAACTGCACTGGCTGAAACAGCATCTACCTAGACTTTGCATTTGAATTTGAAAACACTAAAACAGCGCTTTTTGTCCCGTCTCTTCTGGTCTTCCGTACATGCATGAATCCACTCGCGTCACTTGGAATAATATTTGTTAAAAAGTCCTTAAATGATTCCGAGTCCTCGTATTCCGGGTGAGTCGAGATGTGATCCACCTCCTTGGGTCTAGTCCTGGTTTGAGGCCGTCTCTCCGTGACAGAGGAGGATGGAGGTAAAGATTCACTCGCGTCGGCACGGGAGCGTTTTGAAGACACAAAAACGGACATTGAACTCAACTTTTACGGCGACTGCCATCTCATTTTATTTTTTTTCCAAGATTTAGCTCGAATCCACACTGATCCACTAAGATATTTAAAGATGCACTGTGTAACTTTTTGTTTGGAGGGGCTGTCAACTTCTCGTTTCTTTAGGAGTGTTCCGCAGTACGACATTAAACAGCTGTAGTTTACATGTTTTAAATTACATGTGGTTTTAATGCTCAAATAAATAAAAAAAACAGAAAAACGCAGGAATTTGGACTGTGAGCGGGGTCGCCTCTCCACAGATCTGACCTGTAACCTTGGTCTCGTTTTGTATACATGAAGATTGAAAGGTTTAATGCCATACTGTGAAACATTACAGACGAAATGATAACAAGCATTTGACAGACTCTCCACCAGAAAAGTTACACAATGCAGCTTTAACTGGTGAAACTAAAATGTCCCAAAGCGCTCAGAGTGTGACAGAGTGAATCCTCTCTCCTCTCTCGGTTCAGTTGAGCCGTATACATCGTGTGGTACCCCCAGTAGAAGCCCTAGTCCCAGGTCTGAACCCGGGTGAAAACAGTCCGGACGCAGCAGCTTTGTGCGGTGCGTTTAAAGGAGCGCACATCTATTGTTCTTCTTGCCGCGGCGTGCCGTCAGCGCCGCCCTGGTGGCCATCTCGAACACCTCCCGCACGCCGTCCTTGGTCTTGGCCGAGCACTCCATGTAGCCGAACGCCTGGATCCGATTGGCCATTTCTCTGCCCTCCTCTGGCTTCACTGGCTCCTGTTGGATGGAAAAAAAAAAAAAAAAGTTGTACATGTCAGGTATTTCAATTGTGGGAAATAATGTTACCGTATTTTCTGCACTATAGGGCGCCTCTAACCCCATCAAAAAACGATCCAGAGCGCCGTATACGCGAATCCACTCTGGTGTCCCAGCACGACTTCAGTAAACTACAAAGCCGCACCACCCGCAGCCACACTCATCACTCAACGCGGAAGAGGAACGGAACGGAGGAACGAACCGAAAAAGCGAGTGCAATGTGCCGCTTCTAGACACGACTGAACAACTGAGTCACTGCGAACACGCCGACAATCCAGCGATCCCAGACAGCACCTCCCTACACGCCACAACTGAACAAAGCCCAGAGTCACCGTGAACGAACAAACAAAGTCCGACTGACCCATCCAACTGTTGTGTTTGTTTAAAGTCCGGGGCGGTTTATTTGTGAAAAAAGTTCGAAAATAAATCATTTAATGACAGCGCGTTTTATAATCCAGAGCGTCTAATAGTGCGGAAAATACGGTACATGAGGCTACAAAAAAGTTAAATCTCAACTAACACTGCATATGTTAGGATCATTTGTAGTTTTACAGTCTTCAGCTTTACTCTACCCTGTGTCAAGAATTATAAATAACTACAGATGTGACAATAACCAAAATATTGTGATATCTGTATCGCCAAAAGTCTCACAGTAATATCGTGGACTGTCACACCAAATCGAATTACAAGTTTCTTTGCTTAGATTCATGGTTTTATTGTAGCAACAGCTTATAAACATCTGAAACTACATTTCCCATGATTCATTTCAGCGCAGACAACATGAAGAAATGTGTTTTTTACTTGAATTCTTGGGATTATGACGGAAATAATTGACACCAAAATCTTGTCAGGCTATTTTAAAAGCAAAAACATGTCCCATTTACAATTATATCAGCCTCTTCAAAATATCGCAATAAATATCGTACCGTGAGATGCAAATCGTGATAATATCGTACCGAGAGATTTGGATATCGTTACATCCCTACAAATAACACAATATAAATGCAAAAGACAATATTTAAGATTCTTCTAATAAATGAAGAACTTATTTTAAACTCTGTGATTAAAAACAACTATCACACAAAGATCTTATATGACGCAAAATTGACTCTTGTGCGATTTAAGACATATTATAATGTTGTTACCTCATCAAAAACAAACCTGGAGTTGTGTTTTTTTTTCTGTAATTACAAAAAAACCTGGATCTTGACAAACGTACTTCATATTCAGCAAAAGCCAAAAGCAGATAACAGCTCGTGGTTTCCTTTTCTGTACGCCTACATGTGTTCTGTCACAGCAAAACACCTTATTCAACTTAAATTTAAGAACCTAGTAATGCTTGGGTTTGCAGAACAGCATTTCCTCAGAACCGAATGAGGTCACTGTCAATAAAATGATGCAGCGGTCAGTTTTGGTTTAAAAAAAAAGGGAACAAATATTTGCGACTCATCGAGATATTCTCAGGACCATCATTTTCTTCTTTTAAAAATTTAGAACTAGACAAATTTAAAACGGCTTTAAATGAAAATTGTGATGCGCTCATTCCCTGCTGTTGCCCCGACGACCGCTGGAGAGTATTCACGTTAGTTAAAGCCCCAGTGTGGTACCTGTTTCATCTTGGCCAGCTCTCTGCGCGTGTGCTCATCGTTGCGGAGATCCTTCTTGTTTCCCACCAGAATAATGGGAACGTTTGGACAGAAGTGTTTCACCTCCGGAGTCCACTTCTCGGGAATATTTTCTGTCAGGAAGAAGAAAAAAAATACCAATGAATATATATAAAGTTTGGGCTTTCATTGTGTAACTTTTCTGGTGGTGGGTTTGTCAAACGCTTTATATTCCACGGAGATATTATTCCTTTGTCTGGATTGTTTCACAGTACGTAAAATGTTTTTATCTTCAGGAAGACCAAACCAGACCAAGTAACAGGTCAGATCTGTGGAGAGGCGACCCTGCTCACAGTCAGAATGACAGTTTTTCTAGGTATTTTTGAGCTATAAAAATCAACAGTAATTTATTAAATGTAAAAGGTACCGCTGTTTAATGTCATATTCGGGAAAACTAAGAAGAGCAGTGACATATCCACAGAAACAAGAAGGCGACGGACTCCCAATCGAAAAGTTACAGTGCAACATTAACCCTAAAACCAAAAAGGTGGCCTGTGCCGAGCTGAGCACAACGGGACAATTGGCTCTATTCACTCTTACGTCACAAAACCGTTTGGAAACATGCGGATGACGACTTCCTTTGGGCTCTGGTGACAAAATGGCCTGGTTTTCTTCATCTAGATGTCATTGTATTCTTTCTTTTTTTTCTTTTTATAAACTGTCTTATTTGTGTATTATATAGGGATGTAACAATAACCAAAATATCGTGATATCGTACGGTCAAAGTTCTAACAATAATATCATGATATAACGAATTACAAGTCACTTTGTTTAAAAAGAAAAAAAAGATAGAGGGAACTACATGATCCTTTTCTCCATTTTAGTGTAGGCTACAAGAATAAATAACAGTTCTAAGCACTTTTAAGTCTTAGTTCTTTGGATTAAGTCTTGTCAAGGCGTTTTAGAGAGGAAAAAGTTGCATATTTACAGTTTTAGCTGTTTAACCACAAAATATCGCAATAAATATTGTACTGTGAGATGTATATCGTGAAAATATCATACCAAGAGATTCCTAATCTTGAGCCTCCCCAAATATCTTGAGCTTTCCCACCATATAGCAATAAATATCGTACCGTGAACTTCATACCGTGACGATATCGTACTGTGAGACTTGGATATCGTTACACCCTTAATATTATAATTTGTCTAATAAAAAAAAAATTAAAAAAAGATGTCATTGTAGTGTTCTGTTATGTTCAGCAGATCAACAGATAAAAACATCGAAAATGCGATTAGAGTCAAGTCCCCCACGGAAAGGTTTGGCAGGTTGTGACGTCGCTGCTGAATCCACGCTATTATCACATGCCCAGTGCCCGTAACTCCACCGGAAGTCGTCATCCGGATGTTTCCAGCGTCTTCTGGTAAGCGTGAGTAGAGCCAATTGATCGACCATATGGCACCAAGAACACCGTGTACCGCCCACTGTTGATACTTTGCAGTTCTATCGCAGTGGGGGAGGTTCTACACGTCTCTCTTACGGTGAAATGTTTAGGAGTATCCATGGTGACAACACACAGACAAGTAAACGCCGTCCAAAAAGTTTTAAGATTGTCTGAAAATTCAATGGATTTAAAAGTGGATTTAATCAGCACATTTTCAGGAGTCTTTTATTTTCAAACAACAAAAACCCTCAGACAGAGCAGAGCCTACAGTTAGCATCACACCCGCAAGGAATGTAGATGACCTAAGCTGCAAAGTATTTTAATATTTTGAAATACCCGAGCATTTAAAAACCCACAGCACCTCGTCCCATCTGCGCTGTGAGCCAAACGCCCGTATTCGCCTCGTCATCGACCGTAAGATCATGAGGCCGAATTTAAAAACACCACAAAACCACGCACTGAAACGCCCAATGACTTCCTTTGTTTTTACACAGAGAGACGACAAAAGGCTCCCCACAAAAGCAGCCGTATCTGGGATCCCCTCAATCAGACCTCGTGAATGGGCCCAAATTATCGCGCAATTACGTTTTAGGAAAGTGGTGCTTCTGAGATTTAAAAATAAAAGCTCGTATGGAAGTTCGAAAGGAACAGTCAGCGAAAAAGAGGCTGAAACTCAAAATGTACACGTCTCTATGTACAATAACCCTTAGAAATGCGATTCAACTTGTTTAAAAACGTGGCAACTGAGGGCCTGTTTACACGAGAAACGACAAAATATTTTAATGTAAGTGCCTTTTGTTTAGACGGTGATGGCGTTTTATTGGTAGCCAGGTTGGTGCCACCTAGTGCCTCCGCTCAATTTCATTTCTCTTCAGCGCCTAGGTCAGGAATCGAAATACAATAAACGGCTCGCAAAAACCCCGGAAGTACAAGTTCGGGCACCAGCCAATCAGAGAAGAGCCAGTGTTGTCAAGGAGTCACAAGATCGAGGATTTAAAGCTGGTATAAAGAGAATTTTTGGTGAATTTTATCAAGGGGAAAGACGTTATTGGCCTTTTTCCCTACGGGATTTGGGAAAAGCTTAATATACCAGTTATCCCCGTTAGCGGTGCATTACATACGTCACGACCAAATAGCAGCGATTGGTTAAATGACAAAAAGTACCTGCCTACTGTCGAGCGAACGAATTCAATCGCCGCGAGGTCAGATGGTTTGTACGAAATGAAACGAAGTAAAATCAGGCTGATGAATCTGGCTACGTTTTTGGGGCTTAAAGACGCAAAAACCTGAAGCCACCCTCTAAAGCACAGGTGTCAAACATACGGCCCAGGGGCCAGATCCGGCCCTCCAAGACCTTTAATCTGGCCCTCGGCTGATTTTCTACTAAAATATTTTAATTATATTTTCTATTAAAATCTTGTTAATTTTCTGTGGTGTTTATCACAGCAGCGTCTCCAGCGTCTCTGTACGTGGCCCCTCCCACCAGAGCAGCACAAATGAAGACTTGTCTCTTTCCAAACGCTCTTAAAGGACGATCGTTTTGACTGTTGACCCTGACACCCTCATCAGCAAAATGTCAAAAATGAGAAAAGTGGACGCTGAGTGCAGGATTTTCCAAAAATTGAGTTATTCTTATTTGCAAACAAGTTCATGTTAAAACATTGTGTTGAAATTGTATTTTTCTTAAAGTTTCAGGTTGTTCATAATATAATAATATTTAGTAAAAGAAAGAGTTCATCAATTTAGAAAGATTTCTGTAATAGATTTGTGTTTCTCTGTACCAATATTTTAACTTATTGTTATTTTTGGGGTTTATATGACATGAGTTTTCTGATCCGGGCCCTTTGGGATCAAAGTAGGTTGGATACGGTCCCCGGACCAGAATGAGTTTAACACCCCTGCTCTAAAGTATAAAAGTTGAAAACGCTCTGTTTCCATCTACACTGTTGAAAACGCAAAATTCTCGGCAGATCTGTTCACTTTACATACGCTTTTCTGTCACATACAAACATGTCGGTTCATTTCCACGCGTCGAATTCTGCACACTTTTGCGCCCCGAAAACTCTCGTCTAAACGCGGAATAAAAAGTGAAGACGCAACACCACTTTTGTGTCTTCTGTTCAGACCGTCATCATAAACGTAGCCTGATACTGCACTGCTCTGTCTAAAGCTCTGTTACTCAAGTTTAGCCTTTAATCTGGGCTTTGTTAAAGCATAATCTGACCATAAAGAACGTTAGGTGAAGTCTTTCATTCATAACATTACAGAACACAACTCTAGTTTTTGCTGTTGTTGTTTAGAAGCGGAACCATGAACACAGAAAATGTAATCCTACGCTTTTAGACTATCTTACAACCCCTCCCTCGGCGTGATAAAGGGTGAATCGTCTTGCTTCTATCGTGTTAGCTGGCGGTGCGGGGTGGGGACAACAGAGGCATCATTTCCTCTTTTCGAAGTGCTGACTCATGGACAGGAAGAACCAAATGAACAAACGACGGCAGAGGAGAATAGCACAGGGCTGATCGCATTATCATCTGAGAGAGGGAAAGGAGGAGGAAGAGGAGGTGGCGTCGTGGTAACAGGGATGACGTCGGGACACGCTCCGCTTCATGTACGGTCACGGTGCTTTGGTCGATTACATGGATCATAGCAACACTGATTGTGAAAACCAGCTCTACGCAAAGTTTCACTACAACTGGAACCGATTTGTTGTTCCTCCGGCTCAGTGGCGTTTAAACTTTTCACACAAACACCGAGGTCATTTTTGGCTTTCCAAGAATCACTGTGACGTAAACACAGATTTATCAAGCCTTCATTATGACTAAACCAGATCCCAAAATTGAAACCAAAAGAGATTCCAGTAGTTCTAAAAATGATTAACCCAAAAAAAGGACACAAACATGAATAGATTTCCGTCTAAATAAAAATACTAAAACCATGAATCAAACGCAGGATATATACCGCAACGGCCAGGCTTTACTTCTTTTTTATAGTCTACTGCCAAATCTGATTTACTCTTAGTGAAAATGTAGTGCAAATTAAACTGGTAAACAACCATAAACCACAATTTTTTTTTAAACTATGGTTCAGAGTTGTTTGCATTTTACACCATTATCAGCCTCAACTCTTCCACTGGTCCCTGAAAATGTTTTATATTTATTATCTGTTGTTATGAGAAAAAAGTTTTGAGTGTGCGCGGCTCCAGACCTCATGTTTCTAACCTCAGGATCAATCCATTCACTATTCCTCCTCAAGACGGACATCTTAAGTTTACAAATGTTTACCCCTTGTGTCATCGCTTATAAAATATTTCACTTGTGTGCGACTCTTTGAGCAATAACTAGGGATGGGACGAGATACAATTTCCACAGTACCAGATGAGACACGAGATTGGATCTACGAGAACGAGACAAGATGAGATTTTGACATTATTTATAATAAATTGAGCAACCCAGTTTCCAATTTTGGCCTCACCGTTTTTGATTTACTTTATTTAACATTTTAGATGTCACTGTAGCGGTGTTTTTTGGGACTACAGCTTCTCAAAAATGTAGCTCACCGGTATTTAACTCCTTTTTCAATCCAATCTAAACGTAAAAACAAGGGAAAAAAAGCTCACGAGATCATCTTCAGCGTGTGTGTACAATCTTATCCCTAACAATAACCGATAGAAATGAACTTCAACATGGTAGTTTATACTCACTAGAGGCACTGCTCTGTCTGAAGCATTTGCTCAGGTTAGACTTTAATCTGGGCTTTGTTTTAACACAGTCTGACTATAAAGAACTTTAGGTGAAGTCTTTCTCTAATGACAAAAAAAGCTCAACAAGATCACGAACGCTGAAAATCTGTTCTGTCCCATTCGACAGTGTTTGCCGATGTGTACATTGCGTTTCCTTTGATCCCACTGGGTTGGATATGCCAGAAAATATTCCTTTCGTCTTCTTACGCGTGTGTTTTTGAGTGCGTGTCCTTACCCAGACTGTCGGGGCTGTCTATGGAGAAGCACATGAGGATGACGTCGGTGTCTGGATACGACAGAGGCCTCAGTCGGTCGTAATCCTCTTGACCAGCGGTATCCCACAGAGCCAGCTCCACCTGCACAAACACCACAAACACGGATGAACAATAGAAAAATGACCGCTTTAAAAAGACTTGTACGCTATTTTTTTCAACGTATCTGAGCAAATTTTGCCTCGGCCCGGTACAGATTTATTGTAAACAGCTCTTGAAGTCAAAATAAGTCCCCTGTGTACCATCTAATGCATCTAATTAGAGAATCAGGAGGTGCGAGGTTAGCATGCTGTCTCTGGATATTCTGAAAAGTGTTTAAAACTCTTCTGTTTAGCCGTGCGTATGAAAAAAAAACCCCAAAACTCTTCACTCTTCTCTTTGAATCTTAATTTTATGATCATTATTTATGTTTTTATTTGTTTGTATTGTGATTTTAATGTGTTTCTTTTTCTGTAAAGCCCTTTGAATTACTTTGTGTATGAATTGTGTCATAAAAATAAACTTGTCTTGGCTAAAATTGATTCGTTTTCAGTCACACTAACCTTGTACAGTAGCAGAATGTCACTGTATTGTTAAAAATAGTTTTAGGTTTCATACTTCCAAGATCTGTCTATTGTACAGGCATTAATAGTGTCGTCACCTCTCGTGTCCCAGAAACCGTCGAGTTTGATGTAAATGAGGAAACTAAACCAGTTCAAACGTCCCAGAAGAAAAAAAAAAAAAAAAAAAGAGGGCGAGAGTCCAAAGGGAGACCAGTCAAGACTACATTTCCCACAATCCCACTGACCCGGAGGCAGGTCAGGGCAAGTTCTATTCATGGTTTTCGGCTTCGAGTTTCTGGCTCATATCTGAAGGACTTCTGCTTATTCAAAAAAAAAGACATAATATTTTGTTTTGTGTTGTTAAATGCCATGGCGACAGGTGCTAGATTTATCTGAAACCCCGTGGATTGAGAGGAAGAGTTCAGAGAGGCCAAAACCGCACAGAGCAGTAGACGTTATTGTGCAATTAATGACATTTTTTATCATTTTAAGTAAAAAAAATCAAGTTGTTTAAAATCGTCTCTGATGTGTGTGGGTTTTTTTTTAAGTTTTAGACTTTAATCTGAGTTTTGTTATAATAAAATCTTACCAAAAAGAACTGAACTACACTGAATCACAACAGGTGAGCTGCTTTGTGCTTAGGGCTGGGCACCATTAAGAAGTTGCCACAATATGATTCATCTCTCGATACAGTGAGCTTTCGGTTCGATACGATATATTTAACATTGATTTGATACGGTTCAATAAAAAATAATGGCTACTAAATGATGTCTGTGATACTAAAAGTCTTTGTTAAACCACTTCTTGTGCAAAGTTAATATAAAACATGCCCATTTTAATCCTCAAAAACAGTGAATATGTCAAGTTTCCTTCCTCTCAACAAGCAACAAAAGTGTAGAGCTGTAACAAAATACATTTAAAAAAAAAAGATACCAAAAAATACTCTTGGAAATATATCGATACAGCAGCTTAAAATATCAATACTGCATCGTATCATCACATTAAATGATACGATATATCGATATGTTTGCAAACATTTGAGCTGTTAAACAAATCTCTCACAAATAACATTACAGTCCCAAGCTGACTCGCATTAGACAAGTTTTTCAGTCAGTCACTCTCACTATTTTGGTTGAAAATCAAAACACCTAAACAGGACCGTGAACACTCGCATTCAGGATGTGTTTACTAATGTGTGTATTGCGTCTCCATGGTAACTACTGTACATAATAACACCAGAGACAAACATGCAGAACCCCCCAGCGCAAGGTCACTGCAAAATGTGAATATGCTTCGTTAGATGGCAAAATGTATGTATTGTTCGTGTTCAGGAAATAAATATTAAAAACTAAACGATGAACTACTCCAACAAACTGTATCGATGACACATTGTGAATCATCAGGAAGTGTTTACGGCTGCTGTGTTCAAAAGAAGATGCGATTAGAAAGGAATGTAAACTAGTCGTACAACCTAAGAGCAAGGAAAATAGTTTCATAGTTCTTGATATGTCTGGCCTTTTGTTTGAACTTGTTTAGATAATTATATACAAAATGCTGCCGGGAACTGATCCAAAAGTGTCATTGCTATGTTGTTGTAGTGTCGTCACGGTACAAATATTTCAAACCTGATTTCTATATAAAGGAATAGACTCGATACGGGTTTAGAAACCACAGTGACAATTAAAAAACACTCAGGTTACTTGTTCTGATACAGCTCTAAATTATTCTAAAGCTATTTAAAAAAGTCCAGTTCTTTTCTCTCCTGTAAATGTGACCGTTTAGCATCGATACTTGTTCAAATTATTAAAATAAGTATGTGATTTTCTATACTTTTTCCAGGTCTGTACGATGCTGTGGCGCAGAAGGGTCTCACCTGTTTTCCGTCCACCTCGATGTCGGCGACGTAGTTCTCGAACACGGTGGGGACGTACACCTCGGGAAACTGGTCTTTACTGAAGACGATCAACAGGCAGGTCTTTCCGCAAGCGCCATCGCCCACGATCACCAGCTTCTTACGGATCGCCGCCATGTCTGTCCAAAACAACAGAATATTGAGTTGGTATTGCAGTACTTAACAGCTTTATCATATATTGCAATATTTTCCCAATATCGTGCAGTTTTAATTAGAAGATCGTACAGATATGGTTGGGTGAAAAGGTCTGTAGGGTAAAGGGAATTTTCAGAAGGCTATGACCTGGAGCTGGACTACAAAACAAAACATTTTATATAGATATTTTTATATTTATCCCTATATAATCAAACTATTCAAGGGTACAATTTAACAACACCAATCTAGTGTTGGGAAAAATTGGAAAATCTCTCAAGACTGTTGTCAAATTGGTTACAGCAATAATGAAGCAAAGGTAGACACCAGTCTAAATAATAATTGTATCTAATCCTGAAATTAAGAAAAACTAGTCTTACTTCAGAATTTCAAATCAAGATGAGATGTACAGACATTTTTATATTTGATTCCAATTGACAAAAGTAAGGAAAATTTCTGTTCTGCCTGTTCTCGATTTAAAAAAATTCTTAGTTGACTAAAGACATGCCCTGTCGATCTGTAAATCGGCAAAATTTCTCAAACCAATTTCGTATCTGCACTCGCGAGACAAAAAACTGCACAAGATTTCAAGTGAAAACCGCAATTTATACAGAAAGAAGCAGTATATGTAAATAAAAAGGGTAGATTAAACTCAGGATTCACTCCCAAATCAGCAAACTTTCACCAATTTCCATCTTTTCTTTCTGCTGTTGTCTCAAATAAATCCTCGTTTGCCCAGAGTTAGGAAAAGACACCCTGACACCTTGCTGTTATTATTATTTTATCATTATAATTCTGCTTGATTTGCTTATTGTTCATTTTATTTCACTGTAAATGTCGTTCAGCGCTTTGGTAAGCTTTGGCTGTTTTAAATGTGCCGTACAAATACAGCTGATTTGATTTGGTAAAGACAAACAAAGTAATAAATCAACCAACAGAAATTATGGTTGACCAAAACTCCTTCGACCGGACTAAACAACCCTAAAATATCTGCAGTCATACCAGTCAGGCCATAAGAAGATTTAACCACAAAAAAAAGAGATGTAGAGAGGTAAAAAGTCAAGGTTTTGTTAAGAAGAATAAAAAAAAGAAAAGGACTAAACCAGGGTTAAACCGGGACAGATCCATATTCTATTTCAGCTGGGTGATTTGGTTGTGTAGCAGCGGCGGTACATGACATTTTCCTGATATCACGCGGTCTTAAGATGAGCCTGTGAGAATACAAAGCCGTGTGCAGCGTTTCCAGTGGAGCTGCCAGACTGCTGCTTGTTGCTGGGTGTGAGGGGGAAGTGTAGAAGAGGAGGCGTTCACAGTGACTCACACTCACTTTGGGCCGATTCCACTGAGCTCTGAGCGGACCCAGATTGGACCAGTGTTTAAGAGCTTTGGTGTTCACGCTAATGATCTACTCCCAGCTTTTGTTTGGGGGGGAAATGGGGGAGCTAAAGCAATTACATTTCACGTTTCAAGTTAATAGATACGCATTATGGCTGGAAAAACTACCAGACTTTACTCTTCTTGTATAGCAAGTCAATGTGGAAAGGACTAACTAGGACATTACAAAAGATGAATAACTTGTTTTCCACAGAGATTTCAAATGTTTTAAATGGCCGTCTTGAACTAGAGGTTGTTTATTTGCAAAGATAAATTGTAAAGATTTGGACAAACATGTTCTGAAATGTAATCCTCGTATTAGTCCGTCAGTTCATTTTTCAAAGGGTGACCAGATTTTCTCAATAAAAACTAGGACATCCCCATTTTTTTGGTGGCATGCAATAATAAAATTGCGTAACAAGCTTCCTTAATTACACAGTCGTTTCACAAAGACCATTCATGACTAACACGTGAGCCAGTATAGTCACATTTTCTTTGTGTTTTGGTCATTTTTAAGCAGCTTTTCTGTATTTTATCTAAACAAATTGCAATTTATACCGCTCTTTACTGTTGGCAGGGGTCAGATCGGTCAAAAATTGAGACAACTTTGACATTTCTTGTATAAAACCGGCACAAATCTGCTGGGACAAGGGACACAGGGCTCAAAACTGGGACTGTCCCGGGAAAATAAGCACGTCTGGTACCAGGAAAATGTCATGTACCACCGCTGCTACTAAACCAAATCACCCAGCTGAACTAGAATATGGATTTGTCCCACTTTAACCCTAGTTTAATCCTTTTCTTTTTTATTTTTATTAACAAATGTTTGACTTTTTAACCTCGACCTCAAAACTCAACCCCTCTTTATTTGTGGTTAAAGCTTCATATTACATTGGTATGTAAATAAGGACATCTGGACATCCACATTTTTCAGTGTTTTGGATGTACTGTATTTTCCGGGCTACTGGGCGCGCTCTTAAGCCTCCAACCAAAAACGTCGAAAAAACGACCTCGCGCCCCACAATCCAGAGCTCCCCATACACGAATCCACTCGAGTGTCCCAGTACGACTTCAGTAAACTACAAAGCCGCACGCAACGGACAGCGAAAAACACGCGCAGCCGCACTCATCACTCTACGCGGACGAGGAACGGAACGGAGGAACGAACCGAAAAAGCGAGTGCAATGTGCCACTTCTAGCCACAACTGGGTCACTGCGAACACGCCGACAATCCGTTGGTCCCAGACAGCACCCTCCCTACACGCCACAACCGAACAAAGCCCAGAGTCACCGTGAACGCCACAAACAAACAAAACCACTGACCCATCCAACTGTTGTGTTTCGTTTAAAGTCCGGAGCGGTTTATTTGTGAAACAAGTCCGAAAACAGACCAGTCTATGACAGTGCGCCTTATAATCCAGAGCACCTAATAGTGTGGAAAATACGGTATTTAAAATGCGAACTCCACATCCTACTGAGACATAAATCGCAAATCTAATCATAACCATAAACATGACTGGAATATTACAAATGGATACTTTTCCTCAAGTCGTTCAAGCCTTGTATAAACTCATCTAGACTAAGGATTATGCACAAAGTGGAATCTGAAGCATGTTTGATTTATGTTAGACTGCGCTTGTGTCCAGTAGTAGGTGGTTGTGCGTGTGTGTGTGTGTACGTGTAGGTGTGTGTGTTTATGGGTGGGGGGGGGCTGAGAGGGGCTCTACTTTTTACGGCTCTCATCATTGCTCTCAGCAGAGGACAGTTTACGACACACAGTTAACCCCTGACTTATTACCGCCGTTACGACTCGCTGACGGGAAGGACCGCGTCGAGATGGCCGCGGGTGTCACTGACGGGAACCTCTGCGCAGGTCCGTGGGTCTGAAGAGAGTCCATTCTAAGCGTTAATGTGATTCAGTCTCGAGTGCGGTGATGACCGAACCGAACTCGGATTTCTAATAGATGATGCTGCGGAAGATGGAGGCTGGAGCGTCTGTTCAAACACTGGTCGCTTTGTTCTTTAAACTTTACAAATCAAAACAGAAACTAAGAGTATTAACATCGAGCCATTTTTACATTTGGCATTTTTAAATAGGGATGTAACAATAACCGAAATATCGTGACATCGTATCGTCAAAGTTTCATAGTTATGGTGCAGCAAAAGCTAAAAAACAAACAAAAAAAAACACACAAAAAAACTACATAGACCATGATCCTTTGCTCCATTTCAGTGCAGACTACAAGAAGAAATAACACTTCTAAGCACTTTTAAGTCTTTGGATTAAGTCTTTCAAGGCATTTTAAGAAGAAAAAGTAGCATATTAACAAAATACGGCAATAAATATTGTACTGTGAGATGTATATCGTGAAAATATCATACAGAGGGACTTGGATATTGTTACATCCCTAATCGTGAGCCTCCCAACCATATCGCAATATCGTACCGTGAGACTTGGATATCGTTACACCACTTTTTTAAAATAATAAAGCTTAAAGTGTCTGGGACCATTATGCCATTTTCTGATCTGGTCATAATGTTGTTTCCTCATCACAAACAAACTAAAGTCGTCTTTGTTTCATTCCCAAATGTTTAACACTGAAATCCTGCGTATTCAGGCTGTTCCACCTTTTTTTTTTCCCATCACAAGTTCTCCACTGTGTTTTTAAAAGCCACGCGCCTTCACCAGAATCATTTGGTTAACTTCACCCCTGGAATTGCCAAACTCTACTCAACAAAAGTTAAAAAAAAGGTAGGCTTCAACTTGCAAACTACCACTACATGACATCATAAGGTGGAGCACAGCATTTTGAGCTTTGGAGATTTAGACAGACTAATAACGCAGGATTACTCAAAACGTGTGTGAATCATACAACACCTTCAAGTATTTTGGTGAGGTAACAACATTATAACACGACTTAAAGCTCACAGGAGTCAATTTTGCGTAGTATAAACACCATTAAACATTCACAAAACTCTTGATGGTGATAAGCAGCTCAGGGGTAGAAGGCGACGTTGCGAATCTCACCTGCCCCTTCTTCTGTCCATGTTTAACGACAGACAGATCAGTGCCCGGTTTAACCCCTGTGTGGACACTCTGGCTTTAGAAATAATGAATCGGCTGTTAATAGAAAACCCCACCCCCCGTGACTCACTGTTGCCAACCGGAGTCTGATGCAACGATTCAGATATTTGGTTATATTTAATTTGGATCTCTCTCTGTGGGGCTTAAAAAGATCAATGGGTACGTGCCTAACAGTGCCGGGTATCATTGAGAAGTTGCCGATACGATGTTTTTTTGGTAGGGATGCAACAATAAATGAAATATCGTGATATCGTATCGTCAAAGTTCTCACAATAATGTCACGGGCCATCATAAAATATCGAATTACAGGTTTCTTTGCTTAAATTCATAGTCATGGAGCGGCAATAACTAAAAAAACAAACGGAACTACATAGACCATGATCCTTTGCTCCGTTTCAGTGCCGATTACATGAAGAAATAACAGTTTTAAGTGCTTTTAAGTCTTAGTTCTTTGGATTAAAGTCTTGTCAAGGCATTTTAAGAGGAAAAAGTAGCATATTCACAGTTTTCTTAACCTCCACAAACTAC